AAGCTGGAGTCAATAAATGTGGAGCTGGAAAAGCACAGCAAGTCAGAGAGCATGTTTGTACTGCATCTGCCAGATTTTTTTGCCACTCATTCAATCTGTCTGCATCCTCCTTAAATCTTCTTCACCATGTAATTTCCTATATAATTTTGCAGCTTGTGAATTTGGTTGCCGTATGTCTGTTCTTCCCATTTCAGTCATTGAGGTAAATTGTAAAAATTTGAGCCTTACAGACACCTGAAGGACTCCACTTGCCATAACCTGCCAATCAGACAAAGACCTATTTTTACATGCCCTCTATTTTCTGCCATGCACCCAATCATCTATCCATACTAACGTCTGACCCACTATATCAGTCAACTTTTATTTGCTGCAATAACCTTTGACATGGTGTCCTATCAAATGCCTTCTTGATATTCAAGTATGGTATATTGATCCACAGCACACATTACTCTTCCAAAGACCGCCAATAAAAGCACACATTACAATTTCAAAGACCGCCAATAAATTTGTTAAACAAGATCTCCCTTTGATGAAACCATGGTGACTTTTCCTGGATACTTTTGAATTTTTCTAAATGGGCAGATATAGTTCTTTTAAGGATCAATTCGAACATCTTCCCAATGACTGCAGTCACGCAAGTTTGAATACTCTCTCTGTCAACTTGTGCAATTCTAAATATGTTTAATTGGACTTTCCACGTGAATTTGTGAGAAGCTAATTACAAAACTCACGACATTCTCCTTTGCCAGTAGAGACATTTTGCAGAAATGGAGAAACATTAAACTGAGTACATCTTTAATTTGTGGTCTGAATTACTTCTTTGTACCATGATACCATGCTGTCTAATCCAACTACATATGGCCTAGTTTCCCATCTACAACATTTCCAGGAAATCAGCTAGTGTTCTGAGATTTGATGACTGCAGCAGCTGTGCACTTATTCACAAATTCCTCACTTTTAATTACTAGAATCAACTTTCAGCTATTTTTCATTACATTGGCTCTAAGTACCTTCCATTCATACCTTTCCTATCTGAAATCATCCCCTGTACAAGATGTATCCATTGCAAAAGTGTCGTTACCAGCTGAACATTGGTTCCAGGATGATTTTTACCCAGGTTTGTGAGTTGCTGATATAAGTCTTCATGTGACCGGACAGGCTATTTCTTGACCAATAGATCCTTGGGGACATGGAGCAGGATGTGCCATGAGGCTTCTCCGGTAGGAAGGATGTGTTTCCTTGTCTTACTTATTGCTGTTGTCTGCCTTGTTATTAAGATTTCTTTATTCAAGGCATGATGTCGATTGAGGAACAACCTGTTACTGTTTTAACAAAATTGTAGCGACAGCAGCCATTAATGTCAATTGGCCATGTTTCACAAAGAGCTTCAGAGTGTCTTTGAAGCATTTTGTATGTCCTCCTCTGAAACCGTGGCCAAGGTGAGATTTGAGAAAAATATTCTGGCCTCCTGTCAGCTGCTTTTCAGCCATCTGAACACAGTATCCAGTCCATTAGAGTTGATTTGCCTCAATGCAAGGGCATTTGTTTTTGTTTGATCAAACTCCCATTGAATCAGGCTCTGCTGGTGGAATTTCTCTAGAACTTCTTTTTATTCATTTGTGGGATGTGGGCATTGCTGGCCCACCAGCATTTCTTGCCCATCCCTAGTTGCCCTTCAGAAAGTGGTAGTGAGCAGTCGACGGTTGTGGGTTGACCCAAAATGCCATTAGGGAGGGAGTTCCAGGATTTTGACCCAGCAATGGTGAAGGAACAACAATATATTTCCAAGTCAGGGTGGTGAGCGGCTTGGAGGGGCAACTTGGAAGGTGGTGGTGTTCCCTATACTGTATGTCGCTGTTAAGTGAATCAGGTCTCACTGTGGTCCAGGAGTGTGGTGATGACAATTGTCTACATACAAGAACTTTTGTTGATTTACGGAGGGCTTTGTTGTCAAATACTCGAAGGGGCTGCGGAGGTCTGTAAAGTATGTAACATATATGCTGTCCTTTAACATCCAGAGCGGAGGTGGAATGTTTGATTGATGTACAGTTTGGGTTTTGTTTAGCCAACAAACAGACGTACTTTCCAGCATTCAGATCTGATGACATCGAGGGTGGTTTTAAATTTTGCTGTAACGTGGACATACAGTATATAAATTAACATTAATGCAAGCTATACTTTTTTTAAAAAAAAGTCAGCGGCTTCCTGCACTTTACCAGGAGGTTCATTGGCAAGAGGCAACAGCAAAATGGAAATCGCCTGCGGTGAAAGCTTCAGTAAATGTATTGATTTGTATAAATGTAGAGGCAGGGCGCTCAGTGATAGAGACACTGTTAAAATGGCCGCTAACTCCAAGCCGCGCGGCTCCTCCATGAACAATAGTCACGTCGCTCCCCAACTCCGCACCACGTGCATAGCGGAACCAAAATGCGGGCAGCGGCGGCCGGGAGACAGCTCTCGGTCGGCGCACGGCGCCTGGGCTATAAAAGCAGCGCCTTTTCCGTTGCCTGCGCATTTCTGCTGCAGTCGGAGACGAGGTTAGTTGTTTGGTGTCGCGCTCTTGGCGGTGGTGTGCTGGGTTGTTTAAAAACCCGCCAAAAATGACCGAGGACCGAAAGCTGTTCGTCGGCGGCCTTAGCTTTGATACAGATGAGCAGGCTCTGGAGGCGGTCTTCTCCAAGTATGGGGAGGTGGTGGACGCTCGAGTGATTAAAGACAAGAGCACCATGACGTCCCGAGGCTTCGGCTTCGTTACCTTCGAGAACCCGGACGACGCTAACGATGCGCTGCAGGCCCTCAACGGCCACTCCATCGACGGCCGCCAGATCCGGGTGGATCACGCTGAGAAGAAATCGGGTGACGGCGGCTACGGAGGAGGCCGCGGGGCGGGTAGCGGTTACCGTCGCGGGGGCGGCTACAACAGCTACGGCGGCGGCGGCTACGGTGGCGGCGGTGGATACGGCGGCGGCGGAGGCTACAGCAGCTATGGCGGTGGTGGCGGTGGCGGCTACCCCGGAGGCTCCGGCTACAGGCAGTTCGGGAGCAGGGGAGGTGGCGGCTCCCGTGGCGGCAGCGGCTACGATCGATACGGCTCCAACAGATAGGAAGGAGATCGGAAAAGCTAACATTTTCCAGGCCGGCATGATCAATCAGAGACCGCTTGCCGTTTCTGAAGGGACTTTTTTTTGGGACGAACACTGTCTAATCTCTTGAATTCAATCCTTCTTCCTCGGGACGCTAACTCCCCCGCCCAATCGCATATGCTATGTCGCAGTTAAAAAAGGTTTTTCAGCCCAGCTGGGGATTGTGTTCCGAAATCATTCCCATTTTGTTCCCGAGTCCCTTTGTTTCCCCGTCCACAAGGACTACTTTCCATGTAGCATGTTTGTTACTTTGCAGCTTAAAACGGTTTTACAAAATAGGGTAAGTTGCTAATCCATACATCACTGCAGCTTGACCTCCGATTTAGTATTTTCCTAGTGGCTTGGGGGATTTTGTATTTTTGCTGCTCGATGGTACTGCCCCCACATTCCATTTTGTTTTCTTAGTTCCTCAGGTGCCTTTTGGGTTTTAAAATGGCGCGTCCACCTTGTGCAGACTCTGGCAGCGTGCTCCAGCACCCCACCCCCCCCCTCCCCGTCTCTCCCCCCCCCCCCTCCCAACTTCCTCGCTGGCCTCAGTAAGATTTCGGGCCGCCAGGGTGCATGAGCGAGTCGCTTGATGCATTTTACATCGCAAGTTAGATGTGCGCCAACTTTCGACCGATTTTGGAACTGGGATCATTTTTGTTTTACGTCGCCAGTTATAATTTGAAGTGGGAAACACATCTGCTCGAATTTACTATTTTTTTTGTAAAACAGTAACTTGCAATGTCGCTACCAATTTGAGATTCCGTCCGCGTGAAGTGTTTAACTGTATGTTCTTACAGACAAGACCATGCTTTCAACCCACCGCAGACAGTTAATCTGTGGGGACACTGGTAGCACGGATTGAGTTGTATACTTAACTATTTTGTGGGTGGAATTTTGCAATCTGAACTGCTTTCTATAATAACGTTGATTGGTGCCAGCCTAGTTTAGGACACCACTGGTGGTTTTGGCCTCCACTTCATCCAGTAAGAAATCAGCCTACAGTGAGGTATTATGCCAATCTCTTCTAATCTATTCAACATCCTCCTCTCTAAATAAACGTTGAGTTTTTTAATTGCATACTGGTAGAAAGTTGAAAGCTGTTTCTATTGAATCTGAGTTAGCATGGACAGTTTTTGTACAAAAAAACTTGCCGCTTTGGAGACTGATGTCAAATGGAAAAATAAAGTGTTGAAATATTCAGTTGATGTCTGGATTAAGCTTTCTTTTTTAGACTTGAGAACATTTAATTTCTATGAAGCAGGCCATGAGTTCATCAAAGGAACATCTCCATTGGAAATGTTCATTTCTGTTCTCTCCACAGATTCTGCCTGGACTGCTGACTTTCCAGGGTCTGCAGTATTGCGCATTCTGCATAAAATGTGCTCAGTTCATGGGTGAACGTACAAGTTGAATGCCAGTAAGCTGCTGGCTCCAATGGGAGCAGGAATCTTGGAAATCTCAGCCGGCCATAAAGCCATTACCACACTGGCTATATAGGCACTACTTCTGAGAATTCAGAAACCATAAGATGGGTAATCCACCAAGCAAATGTGCTGAAGAAACTGGCTGCATTGAATCAGTTACAGGTATAATAAACTTTACAGTAAGTACACAATTGACTGTTGCTCACTTTTGAACACTAACTTGTTCAGAAGCTGCCTGTTTGTAATTGTAACATTTCAATACAATTGATCTGTTTACCATTGTACAAACCATGTTTACCTGGCCTATTCACATTCGTTCTTTGACCTAATTAAATTATTTTGTCAACTTTGCCTGAACTTGAATGTAGAGGTAATCCAAACCTACTGGGTAGGACGGCTTCATGTGTTTACAAGTAAACTTGTCGTTTGTGTTCTAATATACATTCTTCTTTAACTGCTTGAGACTGTCTGTCTGCTCCTCCACCATGTTAAAATCTCAATCTTAACAATTGAGATTGTTAGCTGAGTTAGTTTGTGTGGGGTGGGTGTGTTTAATGTTTAGGTGGACTTTTTTCATTTCACTTTGTGTACCCAGCTTTTGTAAGGTCTCAGCATTGTTAGAGTTTTGTACAACTTTGTCTTTATGGAGAATGTACAAGCTTGTAGCTTTGTTTGTGGCTACTATATCAATGGACTTGTTTAATCCCACTGGGCACCAGCTTCATAGTTTTGTCATGTTGGCTTAAGTAGCCAGCATTTAGAAAGTGGTAAAATCATCATCTGTTTTCCTTTTGCAGTGCCTTCATGACCATCTCTGCCCTGATTGCCCTTTTTACTGCTTTGTTCAAATATAACTTGCTACAATGCTTGAATATTCCAATGATTGCTTCTTTTCCATGTCACTTGAGCCTTCCTTCTGTACTCTGACTAGTGATAGTGTCATTCAAAACTCTTTGGTAGCTTCTTGGGTGCTGATAAAAGTCCAGCCTCAATTATTCAGCTGAACCTTCAGCCAACTATTTGCCTTTAAATGCAACCATGATTTCTCAGGTGTCTTGCATAAACCTGAGCTTGCCCAAATTCTTCAGGGTTGAATATGACGAAGCTGCCATGTCTACTTGACACTACACTAATGTCTAACACAAACACTGTCTTAAGGCCTTTCCTGAATCAAAATTTAATCCCATGATTACACTACACACTAAAGTGAGTGAAAGGCAACCTCCCTTTTAGTATCTGCAGTTTCAGATTTTAAAACTGAAAAGTCTCCTCTGACCAAGTGTGTATTATGGGATATTAAGATTAAGGAAGTGGTGCCTTCCTTTACAGGGAGCAGGCACATGAATAGAACTGAGGCAGAAGTCAGCCATGATCATGTTAAATTGAGCAGGTTTGAAGGGCTGAATTGCCTACTCCTCCTAACTTCTAAAAAGTGAATGTAAGCATTTGGCTAATTTGGACTAGTGCAGTATTTCAAATGTAGGATGGAGAAACATAGCACACTTCTGTGGAGACATGGAATAATATGCCAGATCTTTTGCAGAGGATAGAATCATCCAAAAGAATGCATCCTTTAAACCAAAGAATCACTTGAAGGTAAAGGGGTACATGTTGCAATTAGTGGTAGGACAGAAGTTGAGAAGCTTCAAAGCTAAGAGGCTTGGCCAGAGGAAGCTGGCCATGAGCAAACACTTGACCAGAAATCCTAAAGCACAAAGTATACACTGACTGCATTAGTGATTCCCTTCCTTGGAAATATTTGACTGGGACATTAGAAAAGGCAGGTGTTGAACAATGTTACACTGCAATATCAGAGTGGGCAATGTTCTCCTCAGATGTTGAAGGTCAAATATTTAAGATTAAAAACAGGAAAAGATAAGATCAAACTGTTTCCTCTGGTCGAGGCCCTAAGTAGAGGGTGTAGCATGAGACTATGCTCAGACTCTACCCTCTACATAGAGGATCTGTAACGAGGGAAATAGTTCTTGCAACAGTCCAAGTACTTTCCTGAGGCCAGACCATTCAGGAGATACTAAGATTAGAGGGTGGTAGATGTTTAGAGCTCTATGCACAAATTGCAGTGGATATTGGGTCACTTCATAACTTTGAAATATGGTTTTGTGGAGCTAAGGTATTAAGGAATAGGAGCTAAAAGCCAGTATGTAGAGTTAAGCCATAGCTGAGCCATTACTTCATGGGTGAAACAGGCTCAGCTTCATGGCATACTCATGTGTGGAATGAGCTGCTATGAGAGGAAGTGATATGAATAATTGGACTAAAGGCTGTCCAGTCTTGTGAACCTGGATAAGTGAAGTGGCTGCAAGGATTGACGTTACGGCAACTTTCCAAAATGCCCTCTGCTCTAGAAGAGGAAATAGTGGATTGAAAGCATGAAGGAAGTTATAGGCCTGTTTATTTCCAGAACTAAAAATGTGGAATCTGCCAGTAGGAGGATATTTGCGTATCAGTGATCTGAGAATCAACATGGTTTTGTGAAATGTTCAGTTTGACAAAGTTTAGTTGACATGGTGGATGAAGGGGTATTGGCAGATGGAATGTTTGCATTTCCAGAGACACTTGATATGGTGCCACAAGATCAGTGGAGTGGTAATGACATAACTGCTACTAACAAGCAGTTGGCATAAATTATCATTTTCTGGCTGGCAACTTCCAACCAGTGGAATGTTGGAGATCAATGATGGGATTGCAACTAACTGATCTGTAGGTGATCCCTTGGATGAAGGGACCAACAGTGCTAGCCAAATTTTCTGCTATTAGAAAAACAACTTGAATACAAGACTAGAATCAGTCACACAGCCCTTAACTTGCTCTACTGTTCAATATGATTATAGCTGATCAACTTAGTACCCTGTTCGACTTTCTCATTTATACCTTTTTAGACTTTGGATCTGCAACCCCTTCTTGAAAACATGATTTGGCCTCCACTGCATTGTAACAAAATTCCATGCTGTACTGTAGATGTAGTTTCTCCTAATCTGGCCAAAATGGCATTCCTCATCCTTGGACTGTGACCCTGATTCTAAACTCTGGTAATCAGGTACATGTGCACTTACCCTGTCTATTCCTGTTAGAATTGTGACTTAAAGAACCCCTAACTATATTGTCTCTTCATACTTCAGTGCCAAGGTCATTGGATCAGTCCTGCATAGCCAGAACATGTTCTGATAAGGATATCAAAAGTACATGATATTCCAGGTGTGATCTCAAGCCTGTACAAAGGCAGCAGGACACCCCTGTTCCTGTACTTGAATCCTCATTGAAGGCCAACAATTTGGTGCCTTCACTGCCTGATGCATTCACATGCTTGTATTTACTGGTGTTCAAGGGTGCAATGGCTTGATGCACCATTCCCTTCCCCAATCTATTGCTGTCCAAACATTGGCAGCAAAAACAAGGAGGCTGATCCATGTGGATAACATCATACTTGACATTATACTTAATCTTGCCATGTATTTGCCCACTCAACTGCTGCAAATTCCACTGACACATCTCTGCATCCTCCCATCCATTTATGTCTGAATTTGCTGATAGCAAATCTATGCTAAATGTTTAGTATTATGACTAGCTAGCAGTCTGAGCACTGATCCTTGCAGGACACAACTAGTCTGTGCTGCTTTGTTAGTGACCTGTTTATTCCTACTCCAGCACCTCAGTCTAGGAGGATTATTCCCCTTGTGGGTGTGAATATGCAGCTGGGCAGCTTCTTGAACAGAAGGCATTTCATTGAAAAATGAGTTGTCATTTTTGTGGGTCATTTGCAATGTTCCCTGTGCAATTGCTTGCATTCTGTTTGGAGTGCAGATTGTTGGCAGCATTGATGTTCAATTACACAAGTTGATGCTATGCACAGTCCTCAAGAGGTCTACACTAAAATTAGTGAGATTGGTGATCATTGGTCTAAGCAATTCTCTAAGCTAGTGATCAAGGCTCAGTTAGACTTTCTGTGGGAGCTGGGGTTAATAGTTTAATGACAAATATAGCACTCGGCTTGTTCACTCAATTTTTCACCTTGTGCTGCCATGAATCATTTGGTGCAAATGTTACTTTGAAAACATGTCCAGTACATGGACTTTGAGGCTAGGATGGCTGATTTCTTTCCATCCCCAATCCACCCATTGAACAGTGTAGCATAGCTGCAGTGTGATGCATTTTTGTGTCCTCCTGTTGAGATCCTTTCTAGAAGATTTTTCTTATTGAGACATTTGCCTTGTTTGTGTTTTAGACTTCATTGAAAATTGCTGGTATCTCATTCTGCTGCACCCCTCACTTGGACTGATATCACTCCTCTTCTACATGAAGTCCCCTTCAAGAAAGGTCATGACTTTAAAACTACCCAGCTTCAAATCCTTCCATGCGTTTGGCTCCTTCACATCTTGAATTTGCTCCAGTCTCCTGTTTACCCTGTGTAACTCTGGCCTCGAGTATCCCAGACTTTAATTATACCACTGTTTGACAGCTATGCCTCCAGTAACATAGTCTGTAATGTCTGAAACTTCCTCCTTGAGCCTTCCTCTCTAGATTTTCCTTTTTTAAAGCATACCCCTTTTGACCTTTATCAGACCAAGTATTGAGTGGTTTGTCTAAATTTTGCCTTTAGTGCTTATATTGCAGTTGTTTCTGCTTTTTGTCTACAGCAATTATAGAACCACTGAAGCATTTGCACATTCTTTCCTTAAAGACAAAATATCCTCTTGGTCTCCAGATTACAATCCTCAGGATCTTGTATATTTTGTTTTTTCTGAACACCCATGGGTACAAGGTCAACCTACCCAGCCTGCCTTCCATAGGATATTTTCATCTAGAAAGGAGTTGAGACTTCTCAATTGCTGATTGTGCAATCAGAAAAATCTCAACCAAGTAACAACCATAACTGTTCTTGCAACTATTTAAGACCTGAGATGTATGCCTGTTGTCTGGGGCGTTGCCAACCTTAGTGTTCCAGCAACTTTACCAGTGATTATTTCAAGTTTTCTCCTTTTTGCTTAGTTTTGGAAATTGGGGTGGAAGATAAGTACCACTAACATGCCTGAGGCGCACAACTTCCTATCTTTTTTCCAATTCACATTGGTTAAAAACTGTTTTCATTGCTAGGTTTTGCTCAATGTTCAAAGAACCCAAGAAAACAATCTGCTGATGTATTC